CTCTTCTCTTCTCTTCTCTTCTCTTCTCTTCTCTTCTCTTCTCTTCTCTTCTCTTCTCTTCTCAAAAGTACAGGTGATTCTCTACCTACAACCACAACTGAGCCCAAAATTTCTGTTGCTAAGTGAGACAGTTGTTAAGTGACTTTTGGCCCATTTTATGACCTTTCTTTCCACAATTGCTAAGTGAATCATTGCAATTGTTAAATTAGTAATGTAGTTGTTAAGTGAATCTGGTTTCCCAATGACTTTGCTTGTCAGAAGGTTGCAAAATGTGATCCTATGACTGTGGGACATTGCAACCAACATAAATATGAACCGGTTGCCAAGCATCCCAATTTTGATCACATGACCATGGGGATTCTGCAAAGGTCATAAGTGTAAAAACAGTCATGGGTCACTTTTTTTCAGTGTTGTTGTAACTTCAGACATTCTCTAAATGAATGGTTGTTAGTCAAGGACTATCTGTACAGCTAAGAACATTGGGATTAGCCAATACTACATGGTTGGTTTAAGGGTTGATTTGCTAAAGGAGTCATGAACAAGGGATATATGGGTAATAAACAGGGGTGGGATGCTACTGGTTCTGCCCGGCTCTATAGAACTGATAGCTCTGAGGAGCAGCAGACACAGAACCACTTCTGTGTCTGCTGCTGTTTGGCCCACCCGCCCACCTGGGCTCTTACCTGACCTTTATTTCCTGCTTTTTCAACCTCAGCTGCTTTGCGTGGCACAGCTAAGGTTGAAAAAGTAGGAAAAAAGGTGTTTTTCAAATGCTGCGCACCCGCGTACGGCGCTTATCAGCTGTCCAGGCAGCACAGCTTTAGGTTTATTACACACGCGTGCAGCATGTCTGGCGCGCATGCCCTCAAAGCATGCGCATGCAAAACATAATCATCGAACTGGTATTAACACCAGTTGAATCCCACCCCTAGTAATAAGTATTTTCAGATATTTTTAGTGTGTTGATAATAACTATGTTATCATGTAGCATTATTGTACTCTTGGTTTTTTAGCACTTATATATGAGCTCTTTTTTAAAAACCAAAATTTAAAAAGGTAATGCTGACTAACAATCTTGACAGCTTTAGCTAGAGTTCAGAGAAAACAGTGGAGGACGGGGTATCACTGGGTATGACACACAATGGCTACATAATAAAGCTGTGGAAGACACTTGAAAGGATTCCTTGGAAAGCACTAAAATACACGTAAAGGGTGGAGGATGTTTGGCATAATTCTTTCAGTATTTTCCCAAGTCATCTGACTATGCATTTGCACAATAAACAACATTGTTTCTCAAAGTGCTGACGAAGTAGAGTGGTGTTGCATGCGGGGGTGGGATTCTACCAGTTCCGACCAGTTCTATAGAACCGATTGTTATGATTCTGCACAGTTCAGAGAACTGGCAAATCGTGCCCCTGGCTGGCCCCGCCCCTCTCCATCTGCCCCTCCCCTCCCCTCCCAGTCAGTCCTTTTTGCACATGTGTAACATTGCACACATGTGCAACATTGCTGACTGCATTCTTCCTCACCCAGTCACTCTTTAAAGTATTTCTTTCCCCCACCCTTCCCAACAACCAGCTGTTCCAATGATCAGTTGTGCAGGTCTTACTGCTTCGCCCAGGAGGCTTCCCAGAGGCCCAGGAGGCAAAAAGGGAAATGCAGGAGGGATGCTGCCCACCCACGCTCCATTTTTTTGCCTCCCTGGGTCCCAGAGAAGGCTTCTGGGAGCAAAAATGCCCCCCTCCCGGAGGCTTGCCTGAAGCCCAGGACAAAAAAAAAGGGGCGGTGCTGCAAAAAAAAAAAAGGAGGAGGAGGAGGAGCCACACCCACCTAGTCACCTGGCCACGCCCACAGAACTGGTCGTTAAAAAATGTGAATCCTACCCCTGGTTGCATGTACATACCTGCAACTTGAGGATTGTTCCAGAAAAGAAGCATTATGAAGTGAGGCTCCTTCAGTGAGGTGAGGAAAAGTGTTGCAATGGTTTACACGATACTGTCATGTAATAAAACGTCAGTGGATCTGTATTAACGTTGAGCAGACTGATTCTCCTGCAATGTTTTCCTACCCATTTTCATTCAATATGATGAAGAAAAACAATCCTTTTTCAAAGGAGAAATTTGGAGACTGTTAGCTGCCACCTTACACTTGCTTGTGCTTTGCTACCATGCAGTGACCGTCTGCCATGATCTCTGGGGAGGATGGATGAGAGGGAAAATGCTTGGGGGAAAACAAAAGTACCTTCTGTATTGCCCTGAGACGCTGCCTCAAGGTCACCCAGGCTGTAAGAAGAAGGCAGCTGCATACCAACCTACACCTGAATGGCCATTCTGAAAACATCTTGCTTGAACCTGATTGGTCATGGGGGGTCAGCAGGGATGGGATCCAACTGGTGTAACTACCATTTTGGTGATTTTATGTTTTGTGCGTGCAAGCACGCTTCGCGGGCACGCTCGCCTGATGCGCGCTGTGTGCGCGTTTATATTGTCATCAGCTAGCTGCCTGGACAGCTGAGCAACACTCCGCACAGGTGCACACCGGTTGAAAAGGCACTTTTTCCCCTACTTTTTCAACTACGGCTGTGTTGCGCAAAGCAGCTGTGGTTGAAAAAGCAGGAAATAAAGGTCAGGTAAGAGGCCGGGCGGGTGGATGGGCCAAAAGAGCAGCAGACATAGAACCGATTCTATGTATGCTCTCTGTTTGCTGCTCTTCAGAGCAATCAGTTCTACACAGATGGATAGAACCAGTAGAATCCTACCCCTGGAGTTCAGTGATGGGAGGCAGTTAAGGCAGGGAAACATTGCACTTAGGGATTTGGGGAGATGTGATTCTCAGTTCTAGCTATGCATAACTGTAATAAACCTGACTTCTAATAAAACTGTACCTTTCTCAACAAATGGAGCCACGGATCATTTCTAATTAGGGGTTTAAGTTGTGGCAGGTATGACATAGACATTTTCATAGTTGGAATGTAAGGCCCTTGGACTAGTGGTGCTCAATAAATATCTTTCATCTCTTTATTTTATTTATTTATTTATTTATTTTGTCAAGCGATTATAAGATAACAGGCATAAGTATAAACATAGTTATGAATACATGAAATGGATACATATAAGAAAAATAAAAAGAAACAATAGGACAGGGATGGCAGGCAGATTGGTGCGCTTATGCACGCCCCCTACAGACCTCTTAGGAAAGGTGTGAGGTCAATAGTAGACAGTCTAAGGTTAAAGTTTTTGGGGTTTGGGGAAAAAACTAGAGTCAGGTAGAGTATTCCAGATATTGACCACTCTGTTGCTGAAGTTGTATTTCCTACAATCAAGTTTGGTGCGGTTTACCTTGAGTTTGTATCTATTGTGTGTTCTTGTATTGTTATGGTTGAAGATGAAGTATTCATTGACAGGTAGGACATTGCAATATATAATTTTATGTACTATACTTAGATCGGACCAAAGGCGGCATAGTTCTAGATTTTCTAGGTCTCGAATTTCAAGTCTGGTGGCATAAGGTATTCTGCAACAAGTAGAGTAGTGGAGAACTCTTCTTGTGAAATATTTCTGGACTTTCTCAACTGAATTAAGATACATAATGTGGGTTCCAGACTGATGAGCTGTGTTCAAGTATTGGTCTAGCAAATGTTTTGTATGCTCTAGTTAGTAGTGTAATATTACCAGAGAAAAAGCTATGTAGGATTAAGTTAACAAGTCTTAATGCCTTTTTGGCTATGTAGTTACAGTGGGTTTTAGCACTTAGGTCATTAGAGATGAGTACTCCAAGGTCCTTGACAGAGTTTGGATCATCAGCAAGGTCTTGACTATTCAGCTTGTATTTTATTTTCTGATTTTTTTTGTTTTCCAATATGTAAGACAGAGCATTTATTTGTTGACATTTGAAGTTCTTCAGCAGCTCGCATCCTCCCTGGCTTCCCTTGCTTCAATTAAAATCAAAGATTGGCAGCATGAGGAAACTTCTTTCATTAGTGTTTTTCCCAATAGCAATGATATTCTTACAAAAGAAGAATCCTACTCCTGAGAGATTATTGGAGAATTGTTCCTTCCCTTGAGAAATTAAGCAAAATTGTCCTCCCAATTACTCTGTACACAGTTTTGGTGAATAACTTGGAAAAGCTATTTGTACCCAGCTTGATTGCATAGCTGACATGAATGGTAGCCATTGTATTCCCTCTCAGTATCAATTGCTAGGGAACATAAATAGGATGATACTGTTGCATTTGTGTCCTGCTTGTTGGCCACTGAAAAACAGGGTCCTGGATTGTATAAAACTTTCATTTTGATTCAGTGCATAAAACATATTCTATGTTTTTGATTTCTATCTGCAATTTCCTCAATTTTCCAGTTTCTATAAAGCTTCAAGGCTTGATGCTGAGTTGCTTTCCACAAGAACCAACATCTAATGGTTTTTTTTATGCACAGGATGCTCATGAGAAGGCCTGCAAATATATAAATAACTACTTTTCTGCAATCTGGTGTTTGTCCAAATTTTTGCAATCAGATCTGAGAGCCCTAGGCAAGAAACAGTTCTGCTACTTCAAGTCAACCTACCTCCTCCTATTTACATATTGTGTATGCAAATATCTTAAGTATTTTGACATGAAAGACTCTATAGCTAGAAAAGTTATCCAAAATGTTGTACAATATATTAACAAAGTGCTCCAATTTTGAAATTTCATTTTAAAGGATTTGCATTTGAAATCGTATACATGTTATTGATAATGAAATAAAGCATGCTTTATTTTAAGGCACCAAAAAGTGTTGATTCCAAATAATTCAAAAGATTATTTTATTATGACTTGCTTCATTATGCTGCTATTTGATCAGCTGGTATATAAAAAATTGAAATACTGCTTTGATTACTGTGTATGATAATAGTGATTATTCCTGTTATGTATCCAGTTCAGGGGTGAATGATGATGTCCTTTTTCTCCAAATAAGTAACACACCTCCCAAAATGCACAACCAGATAAAATGTGGGTGTATCAGCAGATCTGGAAGAAGTCAAAGGTTTATATAATTGATTTGGGAAAAGATAATGGAATGAAAATTGAAGTATTTAATTGGAACTCAATGAAAAAGGAACATTCCGCAATGCAACATTTCATGGTAAATATTATTCGCATGTTATCTTCAATAATCATCAACATTTGGTATTGTTTGAAAGGTCCCTCCTCACCAACTATTTTGTTTTGGAGCATGTTGCATGAACGCATGCGTTTTTATATGACTTTCAGTTGAACACTTTATAACAGTGTTTTTCAACTTTGGCAGCCTGAAGTCCAGATGTTGAGAAACTACGGTTTATAATATTTATAAAGTTTAATTAATTCTTCCCCTCAAAAGATCCCAAATTTTTCTTATGTCGTATGTCCTGACCCACTGTTTCTCAAGGCATTGTTCCATCTCTGACGTATTTCTCTATTAGGAAAGGAAGTAGCAATACGTGTTACAATGGCAGGGTTTCTGTGTTATATTATAGTTATATCTTGTATTCTTCATACTATAGTAGTGAATTCATTGGTTAAATCACTATTGATAAATATGTATATTTTCCTCTCCCTGCCTCTCTAAGTTTGCACTTTTAGCTTGTATTTTTTTTTAAGATTAAAAATATTTTTGCTGAAAAATAATAGAAAAGGGAGGAAGAGAGATACAGGAAGAGGGGGAAAAGGAAGGAAGGAAGGAAGGAAGGAAGGAAGGAAGGAAGGAAGGAAGGAGACAAATATGTCCAGCCACATAAATGTTATATATTATTGGCTATCATAAATAGTAATGATTTTGATGGCAATATTTCCCCTCATATATCCTGGCATAATACTCCTGTAAGATTTCTTGGCTTACTCATTCAAGCAAATGCTTCTGTTTTTCTAGCAGGAACAGACCTTAGCTCTCTGAAGAAATATAACATTTGGTATTGTTTATTAGTAGTAAATTCTAAATCGGTAACAGTCAAAATTTCCCAGACCACACTTTACAATTTAACTAGTTTTCTTAAAGAGAAAGAATTGATAGCACATACTTCCATATAAAAATCCAAACATAGCCTCTAAGAAACCCAGCAGAATATATTATTCCCAGTTAGCATATCTAACCAAAACTAATGGTAGAATATCTTCATATAACTTGCAGCAATACATGGTTTATTCTAGATCAAGGGTCTTCAAATTGACAAGTTTAAGATTTGTGGACTACAACTTCCAGAATTCCTGAGCTAACATGATTGGAGGACAAATTCTGGGACTTGAAGTCCACAAGTCTTAAAGTTGTCAAGTTTAAAGACCCCTCTTCTAGATATTTATCTCCTCATTAAAAGGTCACTGTATTGTGCTTTTAAATATGCAAAGGAAATAAGGAATAAGTGTATGTGTATCTCTACTTAGTAATAGGTGACGTGTGTGTCTATTGTAATGTAACTGTTTAAAACAGAGATCTGGCTAAGTAATTCAGCAGTTCGGAAAAGTATGCTTCTTATCTAAAATGCTTTTCCACTGAAGGAAAAGATGAAGTATACAGATTTGTTGAGCAGCAATGGCTGGAAGTGAGATGACCTCTCCCATTTTTTTCTCATCCTGTCATTCCAGAGATGTCTACCTTGATGAAAAGAAGCAGAGCCTGTGAGGAGGGAGTAGGAACAACAATCTGCATTCTGTCACTTCAATAGATGACTCACCGTTGGCCTCTGTGACTAATTCTTTTTTCACAGAACAGTCTGTTAGGCAAGAAACTGAAGGAAGAAACAGCTGGGCCAGAACTATTTTTATAACTAATACCATATGGAGAGCCTCACTAGTTTTCCTATTGGGCTAAGGAATGACTTGTTTTGTTTTCTTAGCATTGTTGCTATTGCTTGGGTCAGGAGGGCTATGACTTCTTCCATTATTAGACCTCTTTTAATTTTTATGTCTATGCATAACTAATATTTCTAAGTCCAAGAGGGCAGCATATGACAGTTTTATAGGGTTGATGACCAGCAATCCTATTTCTTCTACTACATTCAACCTTGCCTCTTATTTGTTGCCAACTCTTTGGTCATTGTTATATTTTCCTCCTGTTGTTTTCCATGTCTTCTACTCTGCACAAAGTTACTTTGGCTTCAGAATGATTGATGTAGCTAATTGATGCATTGGACTCCAAATTCCATCAGCCTCACTCAGCATGCTATGGTGGCTGTGACAAAAAGGCAAATTCAATTATTGGAAGCATTAAGGAAAAGATTTTAAAACAAGTTTGTTAGATTTTTGTTTCTTATAAGGTACATTATATACCCAAAACATGGAGCATTATTTGAAGAAATATGCCAATCAGAACTCGAAACAGGGAGTTTTTTTAATGTTAAAAAGATTACATCTGTTTACAATCTGGTGTCTATTGGTTTATAAGCTGGTTCTTTATCAGTGTAATGGAAAAAGTGATAATATTACATGATGTGATCATGTTTTAAACATTGGGTTACAAACTAGATTGAATTATTTCAATGTTTTGATTGTTTAATTTTCATTAATTTAATTGTGGGAACCTCCAAGGGTCACATATGAGACATGAGTGGCTATACACATTTAATAAATAACAAATATAACATAGATGTTTTTGTTTTTTTAGTTCTTCTTTCTGCTTTCCCACCCCCCTCCTGCCCTTATGTATATTAAAGTGAAAATGTTAAACAAATGCAAGGAGCAGTTCTCTTAGAATATTTTTAACTCTTTGCTTTTCAAAACTCTAATGACAGTAAAGATAGAGACATGCAACACTAAAACATCTTAATCATCAATTATGCTAGTTTTCCCATGTAGAAAACATGACCAGATGAACTGATTCTATTTATTTATTTTTTGTTAAGGCTTTGTTAACAGAATCTTGCAGAATCTCCAATTGACTGACTAATTGGATTCATTTCTGAGTTTCTTTCTCGGGTTGTAAGATATTTGAAGGGAAGGCGATGCTCTCCCGTAAATGATTGTTCCTCCCATACATCTCTTCTTCCCATTATCTCCAACAGATAATTCCCACAAACCATTACAATCTACAGGTTGGAAATTGCAGGAAAGTATGATGTATTTTTCTCTACAAGATTCTGTTTGATTGCTCTTCCTTTCAATGTTAACATGCTACTTAATAATCACCACACATTAATGGGTGGAGATTTGGTTTAATAGAATTTTACAGAGATTTTTTATGACAGGAGTGCTACCATGAAAGAAAGTTTTTTAAAAATGCTCAAATTCAGTATTTTGGCATAAAGATATGAAAAATACAGATGACCGCAATGAAATCTAGATTACATTTTTGGTAACAAAATGGATGATTTTTTATTTTTATTCTAAAACTTGCCATCCTATTTATTTTTTATCTATTTTTATTTTACACTTTTTCAAACTTAACATGACAACACTTATAGCAAACTCTGTCCATTTCTTTCTCTCTTTCTCTCTAATCTATCTAAGTGATACATTCTCAAAAGTAATAATTTTAAACAGGGCAAATAAAAAAATGAAAGGCATGGGAAATAATCATAAGCAGAACAAAACATTAAATATCAGCAGTTTTTTTTTAAAAAAAAGTCTTATAGTATTACCATGTGTTACAGTTTTATAAAAAAAAGCTATCAGCTAATTGGAGAAGCAGATGAGTGTGCTTAGCTCATATGAAAAGGATAAAAATTTGGAGACATTATAATCTTCCTTAGACTTAGCCCTCTGTAGAAGTCCACAATGCCAGAAAAGATTAAAGGAAAAGAAAGAAGAAAACAAGGTAAATGAACTCAAATTACAGTGGCAATGGGTGCATTGTTGGAAGATCTGAAGAGCTAAGTTGGGGCCAATTCATTCTGGAGAAAATCTATCTCTGTGGTTACTAAGGGTCAACACTATATTGGGAACACAAAATCAATTAATCAAAGTTCATAAGAATGAAGATTGATCAACTCAAAAACTGAAGGCACTGTTACAAGAAATGAGGAGAGGCAACTCCCTGCAAGGAAAACAATTAAATTGAGTAAGCCCAGTGGAAGAGAGTCCTAAAACCAGAATTGTAAAACATATTTTACTTTATTGGAACTAAAAAAAAAAAAGCTTATTGACCCTCACAGAGCAAAACAGCAAACAATCTGGGACTTGCTTGTTTTGCTGCAGCAAAACACGGCAGAACAAAGAATAGGATAGGACAGAGGGCATGCAGCTGTGCCCTGAATGGAGAAAAGAACATTTAAAAAAATAGGGATTGTTGACTCAAAACTACAAGGAATGAAACAGATGTGTATGCCAGGAACATAGACCAAGCATGTGGAACAAATTCCAAGACTTATCAAGTTTACTGACAGTAGTTATCCCTTCTTGCTAATCAATGCATGGACAAATTGTATTGCAAAAAACAGCTACAATCATATCAAAGATGGATTTCGATTATCTTGGAAAAAACTTAAATCACCTTGGGGTTCAGATTGTATTCTCATCCATTGCTAAGGTCCATGGAAAAGAAAGGGAAAAACAAAATAAAAAATAGACATGTAAATAGTTACTCAAATAGTGTCAGTGGGAGAAATTTGATTTTTTGAATCATGGTCAAAATTATCTGATGATGCTAGTGTGATCTGGCTTACAGTTCAGCCGGACCAGTAGAAATGTGTTCGGATAAAGTATGGCAGTTTGAAGCTTAGACTTAAATTCAGTCATGTAAAGATTTCATATAAAGACTTCTGCAATATAAAATGAAGTGAGATTGCTGTTTAATGGGATCTATATTGCATGACTTAATGAAAAATGAGAAAGAACATTGGCTTCATGACTCTTGTTGTCCATACATTACCTTTCAAATAAGATTAACCCTTAATAAAGAAAGGGAAGACAAAATTACTACATCTAAAACAGAGGTCTGATGCAATGACTCCCATAGTTGGAATATATTGGAAGGATACTATTTGTTCAGAATAAACGGAAACACTAGAATGGTTATATGTTATACTGTGCAAACATTTAATCAAAAAGTTAAGTGAATGAACTTGGCAATACTATGCAGAGACTGAATTAAGCTAAGTAGTATTATTGGTGTTTACTATTGCCTACCCAACCAAAGGGAAAACTTGCATAATACTTTCCAAAAACAGGCTGCCTATCTTTCCAGGGGGCATGAAATAGTGAAAGAGGACTTTGAATACTGTAATATCTGGTGGGAGACAAACTGCCAAAAATGGTCCTTCTAGGATATTGCTGACATGTCAAGCTAACAGCTTTGACTTTCAGAAGTTAAAGGAAATTTCACAAGTATTAGTTATGGTTCATTAATCTCTGAGATTTGGTATGCATGTTCACACTTAGAACACACTGCCCTAAAAATCTAGAAGCTTTCACCAACTATTACTGAAAGATAAATGCCATCTTTGGGACAAAGTGCTTGAGAGAGTGATATTTGTGCTTTGGCGGGTATTCTTGGAAGAAGCCAATTATTTCTCCTGTTTTTTTACAATGAGTTTGAATCTGGTTAACCATGATTACTCTAATTCAGGAGTCTCCAGCCTTACCAACTTTAAGACTTGTGGACTTCAATCCCCAGAATTCTTTGCTGGCTGAGCTTTGCTGGCTGAGGAATTATGGGAATTGAAGTCCACAAGTCTTAAAGTTGCCAAGGCTGGAGACCCTGCTCTAATTGATGATCTATTTCAGGAGAAAGAGAGGGAACATGACTCTGTTAATCCTGTTTAAGCTCTCAGAGTCTTTTGATACTGCCGATTATTGCATTCTTTGGAACCATCTTTGTGAGCCTGAGCTGTTATGATGGTTCTACTCCAATTTTCAAGTAATGGCCTCAAAAAGTACTATTCGGTATGCCTTTGAGCCTTAATACCTCTGTACTTGACCCCAGTACTTTTTAACATTTAATGAGATTGTGGTGGGACACTACACCTGCAAAGTATCAACTGGTGGTGATTCATGGGTGGACATTCCTCATGGTAGTACCTACCCTCAGTAACACCCTACTTGACTTTGTAAACAGCTTATATTTACCTATACCCCACAGTTACCTAAGCACTGTGGAAGACCTTTCTTTTCATGCAGCGCTTCTCTGAATGTTAGATTAATGGATTCTGTTTCTTCTTTGATTTTCTTCATCCTCTTTTTATTAGTACATACTGCATTCATATTGTTTTTAATCTCAATTTCCTCCGGATATTTTTTATTTTGTAAACTGCCTCCTGCACATGCTTTTGTACAGGAAATAGTATAGAGCAATGTTCTTAATAAAAAACATGCCAAAGAGTCAGAAGCAGAGATGGGACAAAGGGTGAACAGGAAACAGGTATTGTATTAACCCACAACTAAGCTACACACGATGAAATACATTTTCTGAATTACAAATGCAGGTTATGGAAAAATTGATTGAGCTACTGATAAATACTGCACTTCGACTTCTATTCTGCCTTTTTACATATCTTAAAATCTATGAGTATTTCAGGCTGAGTACCGTCCAAGTATGATCTGTGCTTGTTCTTAATCATGAACAAGGAAGCCAAATAATACTTCATGGCGAATGTTTCTAAAACATAATGAAACCATAATGAAACTACAGCCAAGTTCAAAGAGGAGTTATATCTACTTACTCATCTTTGTCTTTTAACCACTGGGTTTTCTCAGGTTTTTTCTTGGATTTATTCCTCAGTGTCATCAATAGGAAAGACATTTTTTCTTGGAATGCCAATGGAATTCTGTTTGTTGCTAAAAGATAAGACAGAAACGTGCAATGGGGTTGTCAGGTGTAAAATGGTCAACAACAGATATGATTCGTAGCCAGAAGAGCATTTTGGATTGCTGTGATGTAGTAGGAAACTCAGCTAACATTATTACTTCTCTGCTCCATTCTTTAATAGCTGGAAGTGCAGCCTCAGTACCTCACAAGGGCGGTTTCCCCCACCCCATATATTTCCAATAAAAAAACTTTTTTCTCTGTTAAAATTACATAAAACTACTACTGTAGTTCTTACTCAGTAGATTCCTGCTTTCTGAGAACATAGTCAAATAATTTCATCCAACATTAATAAGGTGAAAAATACTTTACAGCTTTTCCTTTTACGGAACTGATGGTTTAATTTTTTTTTCTGGAATTCATCACATGAAGTTTCTACACTGTCAGGGACTATTACTTTCTTTTTTTAAAAAAATGATCAAAACAGATTCAACATCTCCCATCCTTTTTAAACTCTCCATAAAATTGTTGGGAGAAGTCATCTGCTGGTTTGTATTTTGCTCCTTGATACTGAATTATATCTCTTGACCCCAAGCGAGCCAAATGAGGCTGTGAAGATTCTGTCCTGTGCTTGGAGTCTGTGTAGATTTGAATGAGGAGAACCATTTCCAACTCAATCTTAGTAAAACTGAATGACTATGGGTGTTTACACCACTTAGATCGGGGAATAATACATTTCTGAACTTAAATCGGTTGCACTTCTCCATTCCTCATTGCAAAAGTGTGCAAATTGAAGCACCTTCTGCTCACTGAGCAGATAGTAGTAGCTGGGGCCAGGAACACTTCTGTACTGTTTCATCTGGTGTACCTTGGCACCCTTTCCTCAATTAGGAAGCCCTTTAGATAATCACTCATGCCCCGACCACCTTACATCTTGACTACTGCAATGCATT